TTTTGAAGTCTGTAGGGCACACATGAATACAGCCAGCACTTCCCCAGACTCACGATGGAGAATCCACTTTTTCCATTTAGGTGACTAATAGCTCTCCATAAAATAGACCGATGTGTGATACATAAATATCTAGTGTAATAACAGAAGAGCCTTGCAAGAGGGGAAAGGTACATTCATGTCTGGAGGTTGGTCAACTGGGTGCATTAATCTTAGAGGACGCCCTGGAAGACTTAAGAAGGCCAGCTGCTCCTTGACTGTTTTCCTCTGGACAGAGCCCTTCTAAATCTGACTTTTCAAATCCCTGATTGAATTCCCAGCAGTCTACTTTTCCTGACTGTAACCAGAAAAGCATGCTCGAATGAACATGAAATTCCATCATATAAAGCCTTGTGAAGCCCAGTCCGCCAGCCCCGTCGCCAAAGCCACTAATAATGCCCTATTGTGTTGCTGTGGTAGTCTAGGTTATCATTATGAAGTCTTTGCTTCTGGTTGAGAAAACATGACGTTCCATTAAATGTATAATCTGGGTTTCTTCCAGGCCAGAGACACATCCTGCTTAAAGCTGAAATAAGCTGAGATTTAATGTCACAGAAAAGAAGAGAACCATTCGCTGGGAAAAAAGGGAGTTGAGGGGTTGGGAGAAGAATGGTGAATTCAGTGCCTTCTGAGCCGTTGGTTTCAGCCTGTAGACAGTGTGTTGACGGCCAGAGGATCTTAGAAGCCCAAGGAAAAAAACGCATCAGAATTCTTTCCCTTTGCACGCTGCGACAGTTGGGTGCTGGACAGCACTGTTTGGGGAGATTCCTTCTAGGACGGAAGACCATGTCTTTAGGGACCAGCCAGGGGACTGTTTGCTATCACTGCCTTTTGGTCCATCCCCCAGCTCTGGGCTCCACAATCCCATAAATTAGCCTGACTCGAGATGGCAAGCTGGAGGTACACACGCTTATCACACCAAGCTCTAGCAAGTTTCTCATTCAGCACAAAAATGTCCCTCTCTTCAAGCAATAGGACAACCAAAGGAAGTCAGAGGAGTCCACCTCCATGTAAAGGTAGGTACTTGTAAAGGTCTCCCCACCATTTTTTTCCTGGAACATTTTTGGGTCCCCAACATATTGCCAAGGATCCTATGGTGCCTTTAGAAATGTACTCCAGGATTAAACATGAAAGAGGCAGCATCCTCTATCATCATGAGGGGCTTGGAGCTCAGCAGGCTGGTTAGACAGCCTCCTCACACTTGAAGTGAGTTTTTAAAAACTCAGGACAGGACTTCCCTGGTGGTGCAGTGGTTAAGAACCCACCTGCCAATGCAGGGGACATGGTTTCGAGCCCTGGTCCAGGAAGATCCCACATGCCGCGGAGCAACTAAGCCCGTGCGCCACAACTACTGAGCCTGCGCTCTAGAGCCCTGAGAGTCACAACTACTGAAGCCCATGTGCCACAACTACTGAAGCCCGTGCACCTAGAAGCCAACGCTCCGCAACAAGAGAAGCCTCCGCAATGAGAAGCCTGCCCACCGCAACCAAGAGTAGCCTCTGCTCTCAGCGACTAGAGAAAACCCGCATGCAGCAGCAAAGACCCAATGCAGCCAAAAATTAAATAAATGAATAAATAAATAGATTTTAAAAACTCAGGATAACTTATTTTGGTTGAATATAAAAGTAATATATGTTCTTTGCAGAAAAATGTGAAGATTCAGAAAAGTGTAAAAAAAGAATTTAAAAATCCTACTTTCTACAGACAAATACTATTACATATTGGGTAAATAGAGACATATACATGTGTGTGTTTATATTTTTAGAAAGGCAGAATCACAGTGTATAATGTCTGATAACTGTATTTTCACCTAAGAGTATATTATGAGCATTAAGTATTTCTCCTAAAAATATCTTACAGGGCTTCCCTGGTGGTGCAGTGGTTGAGAGTCCACCTGCCGATGCAGGGGACGCGGGTTCGTGCCCCGGTCCGGGAAGATCCCACATGCCGCGGAGCGGCTGGGCCCGTGAGCCATGGCCGCTGAGCCTGCGCGTCCGGAGCCTGTGCTCTGCAACGGGAGAGGCCACAACAGTGGGAGGCCCGCGTACCGCAAAAAAAAAAAAATAAATAAATAAATAATAAAAATATCTTACAAGCATGCATAACATGTGTACTCAATATCATGTGTGTATCATGTCTTATTAAATCCTCTGTTGTTAGACATTTAGGTAATTTTCAGCTTTATCATCACAAACAGCACTGCCATGAACATATGCATAGGCACCTCTTTCTGACTATCTTGGATTTTTCCTTTGATACAGGTTGCCAAATTATCTTCTTGTCTGTGCTATCCAATACAGTAGCCACATGTGGCGATTTAAATTTAAATTAATTAAACTTAAATAAAATAGAAAGTTCCTTTCTTCAGTCCCACTAGGAACAATTCAGGCGTCAATAGCCACATAGGACTAGTGGCTACCATACTGGAAAGCACAGATAGAGAACATTCCATCAACACAGAAAGTTCTACTGGACAGCACAAGTCTAGAAAGACCAAACAAATTTACATTTTCGTTAGTAAGATATGACAATGGCCCTCCCTCCCACAAGTTGGACAATACTGAATATTATAATTCTCTAAAAATCTCTGCCAACTTAATAAAAATTACATCTTGTTTGATTTTTCCATTTATTTGATTACTAGGGAAGCTTGAACTTTTTTGTTTATTGACTTTCATTTTTTTGTGTGAATTATTTATATAGTAAGCCTGTTTTCTATTGGGATGATCTTTTTAAAACTGCTTATTATATATTAAGGTTACTCTACAGAGGTGAATTTATGTTGCAAAAGTTTTTGTAACTTGTTATCTTTTATTTATGGCATTTTTCGTTTATAGATATGTAAGATTTTAATATATTTAAATCTTTTTGTAGTTTTCTTTATTGTTTCTACTCTGTTTTTAAAGCTCTAAATCTAAGATTACAGTAATACTCATCTACATTTTCTTCTAATTCTTTCAACACTTCCTTTTTAAAATGAAATGTTTAACATTTAAATTTTCAAACCTCTTGGAATTTATTTTTGTGTGTGGGGTAAAGTATAAATCTAACCTTTTTCTTTTCCCATGTTACCAACCATTTGTTCAAAAACCATTTTTAAAAATAATGAATTCGTTCTCCACTGATTTGAACTTCCACTAAATGGAAGTACATGTCCTTGGATCTATTTCTAGATTTTCTATTATGTATACCTATTCTTTGGCCTTTACCATCCTGTTCTTCAATTAATTTGCCTCACAATACATTTTACTATTTGGAGGTATAAGTATTTCTTCATTATTCTTTTCCCAAAATGTTTTAGCTCTTATTACCTGTTTTTTTTTTCCCTCTAAGATAAACCTAGAATCATTTTGCTAAATTCCTCTCACCACCAAAATAAGTTTTTTCAGAACTCTGATTTTAAAGTTTAATTCATTTTATAAATTAATTTGGAACGAGTTGATATCTCTACAGTGTGGAGTTATTCCATTCAGAGACATGGTGATTCTGTCTTTTTTTTCAAATCTGCCTCTATCTTCTTCTGAACTGGCTTTCTTTTCTTTTTCTTTTTTTTTTTTTTCTTTTTCTTTTTTTTTAAAAGAACAATGATAGGCATCACTGACTGTTTTCAGACACAGTCTCTGAATCTGTGAGCTGGTGCTCCCAGGCTCTAGAAGTAACAAAAGACATTCCATTTCTTAGCATGGAAGTATATTTTCAGTATCCACCTTCTCATAAATCTCCAAGAAAGAGATCTCCCTTTTCATCCAAAGAATCTGGAGTTCAAAACAGCCTTTACGGAAAAATTCAAACTCCAGGGGCAACTGCAAAGCACATTTGGTGTCTAGCTGGCCAGCTTATTTTGCAGGACTCTTTTTCCAACTCGCAAATACTTTCCAGTCTGTGAAATTAATCTCCCCACCACTGTAACAGCAAGCGCCCGTCCTGGCAGTGGGGAGCACACCAGTGTTAGCACGGATCTCCTCTGAGGGGCTTTTTATTGTTAAAGCTGCTTTTTAGTAGATAGCATGAAACTTCCTTGAATGACTGTGGCTTGGCAAATCTAAGGGGGATTGGTCAGAGTTCAGCTCTCCCTTGAGCAGTCCTGAAGCCTCATCCATTTTCGCAAGGAAACCAGGGCTCCTCCACCACCCTGGTAGCCCACGAGTCAAATCGCCGAGAACTTGAATTCGCCTACATCAGGGTTTCTCAAGCCGAGAGGGAGGAGGAATATACCCGCAGGGGACTTTTGGCAACTTCTAGAGACAGTTTTGCTTGTCACCGTGGAGAGACGGTGGAGGCAGCGCGGGATGGGGGGCAGGGGTGCAGGGGAGATTCTGGAGGGGGGTAGTACCGGCATCTAGTGGGTAGAGGCCAGGGATGCTCGACACCCTGCAAGGCACAGGACGTCCCCACGACAAAGAACTCCCCAGCCTCAAACTCAATGGTGCCGGGGTGGAGAAATCCGCCTTGTATTTTCACTAACTTCCCAGTCAGCCTACATTCTATCATTAGGAACAAAGATAAAGCAATATGTAGGACAGTTTTTAAACAAGAGACGATTGACTTTTAAAAGCCCACGCCTCTTACTTTACACGTGCCTGAAAGTTCTGCCTCTCGTAAGCAAGCTTTTCTCACCAAGATTTCTAAAGCAAATGGAAAGGGTTCACGGAAACGTAGTAGGTCAACAGGATCCTTACACTCCCATCCTCAGGCTCACGCGCCTCGGTCAAGAGAAAGCAAGGCAGGAAAGAATTTGTCCCGAGAACAAGCAGCGACGCCTGCCCCGCCGGCTCGGGCAGCGGCGAGGGAGGGGGAGGCGCGCCCCGTCCACAAAGGCGCAGCGCTGGGGGCACCGCCGCCTCCCGCGGTCCCTCTTGGTCCCTGGAGATGCGTGCCTGTCCCAAAGCCACACTGCCAAGGAGCCTAGCCCGGGGAGAAAGCATCACCAGCTTAAACTAGGGTGGAAAACTCAGGGCACTTACTTGTCCAAAATGAAGTACAGGTCAAATCCCCCGTAGCAGGCTGGACCCCCTTCCTCCCTGCGTCCCCCTTGCCCGGCGCAGATGAGCACAAAAGTGGCCAAAGAGAGACACTTGAAGCCAATGCCCAGGGCTTTCTGCTCCACGGTGGCCATGACCTGCAGCCCAGGGAGAGGGTAGGGTCCTCTCCTTCCCACGCTCCTCGAACTCGCCAGGACCCTCAAGGGCGCGCCATCCGAGGGGCTCTCCTCTCGGGCCTTTTATTCCCCCTCGCTCTCCCGAAACTCCCCGGAAGCAATTGTCTGGAGGAGTTCAAGGTTTTCCTTCTGGTTTCCGCTAAGATTCTGTTTCTAGGTTTCAGGTTTCAAGAATCCCAACGCTGTAGTCCGCTTTTTTAAAGGGGTTGTTTTTGACTCGGGCCGGCAGGCCGCTCCGGAGGCAGCGCTGAGGTTTTGCAATTGAAGCAGTTCCGTGCTGATGGTTCTTTGTCCCAGATTTTAAATATTATGGGGTGGGTTTTCAAATTGTTCTTGATTGGGGGAGTGCTTTGCCTTTTCTCCCTCCTCTCTACCCACCCCCCTTTCTTATTTTGATGCGGGAAGAAAGTTCAAAGGGTGCCACCTTGTGGCCAAGGACGGCAAAGCACTCTTCCGCGTTCAAGGGAACGTGGGTGTGCCCGTTTTCTTATTCCTTCCGTTTTCTCACGCATCTTCCCTTTCATTCTGCATTACCTCTTCCCCATTTCTACTTCTTTCTCACTCGCTAGCCTTTTTATCCTTGCCCTTTCCTTTCCTGTCCTACGTCCGCTAATAAGGTCACTGTAAACGTTTGATGAGAACTTACTCCTAGCGCTATGGCTCCGACCCCAGGCTGGGACTTTTGCAAACAAGACACTGGGCAAATGAGCAGAGAAGAACGGGCCTTTGTGATCTGAATCATCCAAGTGACCTTACTATACACTTAGCGCAGATCATAAAAGAGACTGTTGGGATGTGGTCATGTGGCTGAAAGCAAAAACAGTCCCACACAGAAGGCTGTTCCTGCCTGGAACAGCTGAGTATGCTCTAGCGATTGTCTTCATCTCCAGAGTTTAGAGATTCTGTGATAAGTTCTTTTCAGCCTGTGAACTTTGACTTTTTTTCACCCAATCTTTGATTTAGGACAGAGGAAGTAAACGGCTTACAAGAGGGTGAACCTTCCAAGAAGTTTGGGACTGGCAGGGAAGCCCTGTGCGAGCGTTTCTGCAGTGAGGGATCCTCTTTAGGGTGGGCTCTGGGCCCCCGTTCCCAGCCAGAACTCAGTTTTAGCTTCATACGTCTTCCATTCTGGGAATCCTCAATACACACTCTTGCTCCATTTTTCAGGATTCTTTCTCCAGACGCTCATCTTCCCCTCTGCTTGAGAGTCTCTAAGTTTTGGAGATTCATAATGCATTGCACCAGCTTGCCTTCCAAATGATCCCTAATATTCCTCATCTCCTGGTATTCACACCTCCCCTCCCACACTGAATGAGACTGATCTGTGTGTAATTAATAGATACTGCGGAAATGATGGTGTGCGACTTCTGAGACTAGGTCATAAAAGATACTGGCATTTATCTTTTTGAATTAGAATTTTCTCCAGATGTATGCTCAGGAGTGGGAATGCTGGATCATATGGTAACTTTATTTTTAGTTTTTTAAGGAACCTCCATACTGTTCTCCATAGTGGCTACACCAATTTACATTCCCACCAGCAGTGTAGGAGGGTTTCCTTTTCTCCATACCCTCTCCAGCATTTATTATATGTAAGCTTTTTAATCATGGCCATTCTGACCAGTGTGAGGTGATACCTCATTGTAGTTTTGATTTGCATTTCTTTAATAGTTAGTGATGTTGAGCATTTTTTTCATGTGCCTGTTGGCCAGCTGTACGTCTTCTTTGGAGAAATGTCTATTTAGGTCTTCTGCCTGTTTTTTGATTGGGTTGTTTGTTTTTCTGATATTGAGCTGTATGACCCCAATGTTCATAACAGCACTGTTTACAATAGCCAAGACATGGAAGCAACCTCAAAGTCCATCGACAGATGAATGGATAAAGAAGATGTGTACAATGGACTATCACTGAGCCATAAAAAATAATGAAATAAAGTCATTTGCAGCAGCATGGATAGACTTAGAGATTATCATACTAAATGAGGTAAGTCAGAGAAAGACAAATATCATATGTGGAATCTAAAATATATATGTGGAATCTAAAAAAATACAAATGAACTTATTTACAAAACAGAAACAGACTCACAGACATAGAAAACAAAATTATGGGTACCAAAGGAGAAAGTGTGTTTCAGGGGGGGGATAAATTAGGAGTTTGTGATTAACATATACACACTACTATATACAAAATAGGTAAACAACAAGGTCCTATTATAGCACAGGGAACTATATTCAATATCTTGTAATAAGCTATAATGGGAAAGAATCTGAGAAAGAATAGATAGATGATAGATAGATAGATAGATATGAATGACTTTGCTGTAAACCTAAAACAATTACAACATTATAAATCAACTATATTTCAATAAAGAAAAGAAAGATATTGTAGTTTCCTCCTTGCTCTCTTGGACCACTTTCTCTGGGGAGCCCAATGCCATGTCATGAGGTTGCTCAAGCAGCCCTATGGAGGAGCCCGTGTAGTAGGAAACTGAGATCCCCTGCTGAAAGCCAGCATCAATCTGCCCGCCATGTGAGTGGCCCTTCTTGGAGGTGGATCCTCCAGCCCCAGTCAAGCCTTCAGATGACAGCAGTCCTGGTTAACATCTTGACTGCAACCATATGAGAAACTCCATGCCAGAACCACTCAGCCAAGTCAATCCCAGATTCCTGTTCCACAGAAATTATGAGAGAATGAATGTGTATTTGTGTTTTAAGCCTCTAATTTTGAGGGTAGCTTGTTATGCAATAATAGTCAACTAATAAATGCCCATTACCATGTTAAAATTTTCAGGCTATCTTTAGGTGAGAAAAACGTCTAACCATATTTCCCAGGCTTACTTGACCAGGAAACTGTTCTTTTTAAAAAAATACCTACTAATAACTACTCTCAGAAAAAAATAATTTGGGGGAGATTAAAATACTCTAACTTGTCCAAGTCTTCTTTTCTCATACCCTTTCCCTCCCCAAAGGATTGAAAACCCATCCTGGTCTCACTGCAGCTCTATAATGAAAATGAAGGTGAGGAAAATCTGTAGAAATTAAGTGGGTAGATGAAAGCAGAAAATCCAGGGGAAACTGATTAGGAGAGGAAAGGAATACAAGATAGAAAAACATAACGAAGGGACTTCCCTGGCAGTCCAGTGGTTGGGACTTCGCCTTCCAGTGCAGGGGATGTTGGTTTGATCCCTGGTCAGGGAGCTAAGATCCCATTTGCCTTGTGGCCAAAAAAACAAAACATAAAACAGAGGCAATATTGTAACAAAATCAATAAAGACTTTAAAAATGGTCCACATCAAAAAAATCTTTAAAAAAAAAGGAAAGAAAAACATAATGGAGAGAACATTTGTGGGTGACAGGATTGGCAAAGAATAGGAAAGGGCTTGAACTGGAAAGGGATTTGGGGGAAGTTTATGAATGTCTTCTCTCATCCTCATGCTCTAGGGACCTCTTTGGTCCTTTCGAGTTTGGTTGACAGGGTAATGTATTTAGACGTTTATAGTTTAGAAAGTTAGTCTGGCAGGGGATCAGAAGAGTCCTGATAGAACTCTTCAAAGTTACAGACACCATTATTAAAGATAGGTGAGGGAATTCTCAGGGAGGAAGGAAATTCAGTATGAAACAAAGTTATGGAAAAGGGGAGAGAGTGGAAGCTTCTCCCCTGGGACAAAGATGATGCTTTAGAAGACAGAAAGGTAGTTAGAGGGATTCAGATGCTTGAATGACCAAGTTGTCTCTGCCTTTCTTTCAATATTCTAGATACAGGTCTGTTAATACATGTTGACCATTTCTAGATCTTAAAAGTGACTCTACCCTTCTCTCTCACTCTCTCTCTAGCCCAGAGAAATCCATTCCAGGTGCACCTTCCAATTAGAGGGTTTTGTGCCAGCCTCACTCACTATGGAGAGATGTCCTCCAAATATGCCCATGAAGTGAACTTGATATTGAACTATGGAGATATGATTATTCTCAGAGAATGTTGAAGTAGAACAAAGGTGTCCAGAGTCTATAACAGGATAAATGAAGTGCCTGGTATGATACCACTATGGTGGCTCAGCAGGTCCACAAGAGGAGACATGTTCAGGTTCTTCAAATTGGCAATATTTTCCTTTGGTTGTGAGGATGTAACAGACTTATAATTAGTGCATGTAGGGAAATGGAGAGGTGGATCAGTCACTTGAGGTTGGAGGAGAACTTGGGAAGAGTATCCAATGGGTTCCTGTTAGCATGTCCCAGATTAAATTCACAGCTCAGAGATGTTCAAGTATCAATATTCCTTTATGCAAAGGTTATCATCATCTCGAGGGAATGCTCAGTGCTCTGATTGGACTGAGGTTGTCCAGGATTCTAATCTCTTCCAAGGACTCCTGTTTCCTGGAGGAGATTGACTGGCCTTCCCAAGTTCCCTAGAGAAAGCCATATGGGGTTTGGAAGGAATTCCTCTGCCTCTCAAACTCAAGTCAGTGGAAGAACACTATAAATGATGCCTGGGCTGTGGATAGACATTTCTGGGGTTGAAGAAACACAAGGGCAAATTAACCATGCACGTGGATGTGCCTGAGTGATAATCTGGAAGTCAAGCAGAGAAGAGCTTCTTGAATGAAGAAGCATCAACAGTGCTGCATTCTGTGGAAGTTGAGACCATAAGCCCTGAGAAAACCCCACTGACTTGACACGTGTCATCTTGTCAACAAGGAGCATGCCGGTGGAGCAGTGCATGGGGACATTAGACTGCACTGGGTTGCTAGGAAGGGGAAACTTCTATTTCAAGAAGAGAGAGGGATAGGGGGTTAACTTGTGAATGTTCGCATGTTTTATGACACAAAGAAGGATCCTAAGATATTTAAGAATACTAAGAATTTTAAGTTCGCTGCCTTCCAAAAAATTGGAGAGTTTGCCTTACTACACTGACCATCTTAAGGCTTTAGCCCCGCACTCTAATCACTTTTCTACTGAATTTGCCAGTCTTCGTTCTTTGAGACAGAAATTGTTAAATATGACCTTCCTGTCTACCAGCCTCCAGTGACTCACTCTCCCTTATTTGTCCCCCACTCTCCAACACATTTGACTGAGCCCCTTTTGTCAAGCTCTCGAAAACTAAGTTTGCTATCCTGACCACATTGCCATCTAATCTTCTAAGAATCCCACTGGGCACCAAAGGACCATTTGTCCAGTTTCCTGGCAAAGATTTTGGAAGATGTTCCAGATAACAGAGACTACTCAAGAAAATTTGGCAAATTTTTTCTTTAGCAAAATTTGTCCACAATATGGACAGATCTGACACTCTCGACCAAATTTTGTGTCAA